ATTCCTTCCTAGGTACACATTTTTGGGATTTCCTCTCTTGATAGTTTCTGCCACTGCCTTATAGAGCTTGTCCAAAGAATTCTATTTTTGCATTGTGCCTCATTCTCAGAACAATGCCAAATCCTGAAGATGACAGAAAAGATACTGTCCCATTTTAGGACTCTTACCCTTCACTATGTCCATGATTATGCAGTCCACCAATAATCTATACCCACCCCATGATTACCTTTTTTTTTCTTCATTTGCCTTAAAATCTTCTCCCTGTGTCCATGTTCTCCCATTCTTCCAGGTGCCACTTGCCCCCAGGATATCCAAGTCCTTTCCTCCCAAGGTAGAACAATTACTCTTTTCAAGTACAAAATCCCTCAGACCACATGCAACACAGGATTCCTGTATCTTTTTTGTCATATTAGTCAATCTATTAGGCTATGTGGTAGCACCTCAGAATTGTCTTAATTTGCATTTTTATAATCAATAGTGAGTTAGAGCATTTTTAAAATGTGGCTATAGATACCTTTGATTACTGCATCTGAAAACTGTTCATATCTTTTGATCATTTATTTAATTTTTTTTCACAATTGCTATTGCTATTTCCCTCCATTTTATTTTCCCCCACCACCTGTTTATTCTATTCTTTCTCTCCTTTCACCCAGTCCCTCCTCAAAAGTGTTTTTCTTTTGACTACTCCTCGCCCAATCTGCCCTCCTTTCTATTAGCCCTTCCCTTCTCTTAACCTCTTCTTTTCCTATTTTCTTAAGGGGCAAGATATATTTCTATATCCAATTGAATGTGTATATTATTCTCTCTTTGAGCCAACTCTGATGACGGGAAGGTTCAGTCACTCAACCTCATCTCCCCCCTCTTCCTTTCCACTTGAAAAGCTTTTTCTTGCCTCTTTCATCTGAGATAATTTAGCACCATTTCCCTTTCCCTTTTTCCCAGTACATTCCTCTCTCATATCTTAATTTTATTCTTTTTAGATATCATCCCTTCATATTCAACTCATATTTGTGCCCTCTATCTATATATACTTCTTCTAACTGGCCTAATAATGAGAAAGTTCTTATGAGTTACAAGTATCATCTTCTCATGATGGAATGTAAACAGTTTAATCTGATTAAGTGTCTTATAATTTCCCTTTTTTACTTTTTTATTCTCCTCTTGGATCTTGTATTAGAAAGTCAAATTTTCTATTCAGCGCTATTCTTTTCATCAAGATTCCTTGAAAGTCTTTTATTTCATTGAGTGCCTATTTTTCCCCCTGATAGACTATAGTCAATTTTGCTGAGTAGGTAATTCTTGGTTGTAATCCTAGCTCCTTTGCCCTCCAGAATATCCTATTCCAAGGCCTTATATCCTTTAATGTAGAAGTTGCTAAATCTTATGTTATTCTGACTGTGGCTCCATGTTACTTGAATTTTTTTCTTTCTGGCTGCTAGCAATATTTTCTCATTGACCTGGAAGCTTTGGAATTTGTCTCTTATATTCCTGGGAGTTGTCATCTGGGGATCTCCTACAGCAGCTGATCAGTGGATCCTTTCAATTTCTATTTTGTCTTCTGGTTCTAGAATAACAGGATAGTTTTCCTTGATAATTTCTTGAAAGATGATGTCTAGGCTCTTTTTCATTTTGATCATGGCTTTCAGGTAGTCCAATAATTTTGATCAGTCAATCAATCAATTAATTTTTTTTTAGTTTTCAACATTCACTTCCATACAATTTGGAGTTCTAAAATTTCTCCCCTTCCTTCCTCTTCTTCCTCCAGAAACCAGTGTGCAATCTGATATAGAATATACATATACATTCATATTATACATATTTTCACATTAGTCATCTTGTAAAGAAGAATTAGAACCAATGGGAGAAATTACAAGAAAGAAGAAACAATAACAATAATAACAACAGAAAAAGAGAACAAATAGTATGCCTCAATCTGCATTCTGACTCCAGAGTTCTTTTTTTGGATGTGGATAACATTTTCTGTCATGAGTCTTTTGGAGTTGTCTTAGATTCTTGCATTTCTGTGAAGAACCAAGTCTATCAAAATCAGTCATCCTATAATGTGGCTGTTACTGTGTACAATGTTCTCCTGGTTCTGCTCACTTCACTCAACATCAGTCCATACAAGTCTTCCCAAGTTTTTTTGAAATCCTCCTGCAAATCATTTCTTGTGGAACAATAGTATTCTATCACATTCATATACCACAACTTGTTCAGCCATTCCTCAATTGAGGGGCATGCCCATAACTTCCAATTTTTGGCCACCACAAAAAGAGCTACTAAGTCCTATAATTTTTAAATTATCTTTCTTCAATCTGTTTACCAGGTCAGTTCTTTTTCCAATCTGATATTTCACATTGTCTTCTACTTTTTCCTTCTTTTGGTTTTGTTTTAAAATTTCTTGATTTCTCATTTGCTCAAATCTAATTTTTAAGGAATTATTTTCTTTTGTACCTCCTTTTCATTTGGCCAATTCTACTTTTTAAGAAGTTTTTTTTTCCTTCAGTGAATATGTGTCTCTTTTTCCATTTTGCTAATTCTGCTTTGTAAGTCATTCTTCTCCCCATTGGCTTTTGTACCTCTTTTACCATTTGACATAGTCAGTTTTTGAAGGTGTTATTTTCTTCAGTACTTTTTTTGTGTCTCTTTTACAGAGCTGTTGACTCATTTTTCATGATTTTCTTGCATCACTCTCACTTCTCTTCCCATTTCCCCCTCTACCTCTTTTACTTGATTTTAAAAATCCTTTTTGAGCTCTTCCATGGCCTGCAACCAATTCATAGTTTTCTTGGAGGCTTTGCATATAGGAGCTTTGACTTTGTTATCTTCTGAATTTGTGTTTTGATCTTCTTTGTCACCATAGTAACTTTCTGTGATCAAAATTTATTTTGCTCCTGTTCCCAGCCTCTTTCTTGACTTTGAACTCTTTGTTAAAGTAGGGGTCTGCTTCCAGGATGGAAGGTATACTGTCCCAAGCTTCAGGGGTTTTGTGCAGCAGTTTTCAAAAATCCTTCTAGAACCTCTATGTTTTCAGTTCTTCCAAGGTGCTATGATCTAAGAAGAGGCATATTTATTACTCTTCTAGCTTGTGCTCTAGTGAGACATACTTGTGAAGTGACCACAAGCACTCTTTTCTGCCCTGGAACTATGATGAGGGTTCCTGCTGCACTGAAGCCATAAGTTCTGATGTGCTAGTGACCCTCCTCTCCCTGGAACTGCCACCCAGATCTGCCACAGCAATCTGAGTATGCGCAAAGCAACAGAGTCCTGCTCCCAGTTTCAGCAAGGAGACTTTTGTAATCTCCTTCTGATTAGTTGTTCAACTCCTTTATCATTTGTGGGCTCAGAGCTCCAGAAGCAGCTGCTGCTGCTACTGCTGATTCAATGACTCCCAAGGCCTGCTCCTGGTTTGCTGGGGCTTCATCTGCACTGGCATGGCCTGTGCTGGCTATGTTCCACTTTCATCCAGGTATGACAGACCTTTCCTGCTGACCTTCCATGTTGTCTTTGGCTGCAAAATTATTTCACCCCATTCTTTTGTGGTTTATGCTGCTCCAGAAATTGTTTTATGGCAGTATTTAAAGGAAAGGTTTTTGGGAAAGCTCAGGTGAGTTATTACCTTTTTTCCACCATCTTGGCTTAGCCCTCACACTTCTTTCTATTCCCCTGGTCTCTTCCTCACCTTTAATTTATGTTCCTATTTTGTAATGTACTCTCATAAAAAACACTGATTCACCTGAAGTGGGTATCACTATGTTCTGTCCTTAATGCTTCAGACCTTCTTCTTTACTTTTAACACCACCTGACTTCTGCCTTCACTGCTCTCTCTTTCTGTACATTTAGAAAGAAGTCTCTAACTGTCTCTCTGCCATCCTTCTGCTGCTTTTGCTGCCCTTGGACACTGCACTCTTTTACCCCTCTTGCATTTCTGTTGTGGGGGCATTTGACAAGCAAATAATCGCTTCTAGTCTGGTTTTTCTTTGTAAGAGTATTTCATAGATTTTTTTTAGTGAGTACATACCTTTTCCATATATAGTGAAGTTTAGATTTTTAGGGTCAGTAACCCTGGGCTGCATCAGAACACATTATTCCATTCCCTCCTGTATTTTTAAGTGGATGCAGAATAGTCTTGTGTTATTCTAATTTCCTTTCCTTAGTATTTGAAGATCTTTAACCTAATTGCTTCTGGAACTTGTCATTTCTGAACTGAATTGTTAAATTTAGGCACTGTTGTCTTAGAGTTTACAGTCTTGAATTTTATATGGGGGAGTTTTATAAATGCTTTAAATTGTTATTTCATTCTCAGAAGTTCTGGGCAATTCTCTTGTAATATTTCTTGCATTGTGGTGTTAAGAATTTTTTTATCTTGTCATGTTTTTTCTTATAGATCTATTTGTTTTGCTTGCCTGTTTAGCATATTTTTATTTTAAATGCTGTTTTTTGCTTCTCTCAAATATAAAACATACTGTTTAGATTTCAAAGCCCTTCATAACCTGGATCCTTATTACTATCTTTTCAATCTTACATTTCACTCCTCTACATATATACATATACATATATCCAGTGATGCTAGCATCCATTCTGTTTCTTTCAGAAGACACTCCACTTGACTCTAGGTATTTTCATAGCCTGTCCCCTTGCCCCTGGAACTCTCTCTCTCTCTCTCTCTCTCTCTCTCTCTCTCTCTCTCTCTCTCTCTCTCTCTCTCTCTCTCTCATCTTCTATCTGCCTTGGCTTCTAGGGTTTCATTCAAGTCTCTGCTAAAGTCCCATTTTCTACAATAAACTTTTCCCTATTCTCTTTAGCCTTGTGTCTCCTTTCTGAAATTATATCCAATTTTCCCTGTATTGTTTTTACACAATTGTCTGCATGTTTTCACCCTTATTTTATTGTGAGTTCCTTGAGGTCAGGGACATTTCCTCCCTTTCTTTGTATCCTTATGATTTAGCACAGTGCCTTGGAAAATAGTAGACATTAAATAAATTATTTACCTGACTTACCTCAAGACTATATTCCAGCTGCATTTTCAAAGAAATATTAGTTTCTATTTGTATGTAACCCACAAGATAGAATACTAGTCATTTCTGTTGATGGAATTCTGAATGAGAAGTCTGGCCAGTGATCATTCCAGATTTATTCACAAAGGAGAAAATAGAACCAGGGATTCTGTTAAAAACAGACAAATAAACAAACCCAAAGCCATCAGGCATTTACTTTCCATTCTATCTGAAGAATTCTCTGAGCTTAGCATTCTATAGTGTAAAGAGTATCAGAATTGCACCTGGTTGTATCAACTGCTAGATTACAGTTATATCTGTATTCATTGTGTCATGTGATATCTACATTATATTTCTTGCTTTTCAGTTAAGTGAAAGTGATAACTCAGATGACACATTCAGAGATCTAATACTGTCATATAGCTATTTGTGTTGCATTTGGGGTGGGACATGTATTTACATGTTCACATTTCAAGATATGAAGCCAGAAAGCACAATGATTATATAGGATAAACAAATTATAACTTGAAGACTTCTGTTGTGTACAAAAATAAAGAATGCCTTTCTTTCTTCCATCCATACAAAGTAAGCAAAGTAGAAAAAAAAAAGATCTGTACTAAGTCAAGTAAACAGACATTTTTTAATAAACTATATGCCAGGCACTGTGCAAAGTGTTTTACTAATTAAACATACTCAAAAGGAGACATTAAGTAACTGAAGTTATTTAACAAAGTTGATCCTAACAGATAAATTTATATTTCTATGAAAGAATTTTGATACTAACATTGAGTAATATTACAATGAAGACTTTAAACCACCTCATAATCATTGTTGCTCTACCAAAAAAAAGCCACATTGTTGAAATATTCCATTTTGCTAGAAATAATTTATAATTTGTCAATCTCTGTCAGTCATTGATCAATACTCAATAGGTAGATGAGCAGCAGCAGGTTAAGGTGGGAGAGATAAATATAGAGAATAAATAGAGGTAAATAGAGAGAATCCTAATGCAAGTACACAGGGATACATCTTTTTTTTTCTTTAGTGAGGCAGTTGGGGTTAAGTGACTTGCCCAAAGTTACACAGCTAGTGAGTGTTGTGTGTCTGAGGTCACATTTGAACTCAGGTCCTCCTGACTCCAGAGCTGATGTTTTACCCACTGCGCCACCTAGCTGCCCTTCCAGGGATACATCTTGAAGCCAGAATCGCAATTTGTTAATTGGGAACTTTGGGCAAGTGAAAAAAAAATTCTCATTCCGATTCCATTTATGCTCAGGAACGAAAAGCTGAGAATTAACTCTGCTATTCAGACACAGTGTCTATGAGAAATTTCTCATCATTGATTTAGATACTATCAAACAATTAGTCAATGGACATTTATTAAGCACTTACTATGTGACATTAACTATGTTAAGTGCTTAATTGCTCCTGGGGGAATACACAGTGTGCTTTAAATTTCAGTACCTAAGCAAAAGAGCTGAGATTTTTTGCATCTAACTGCTACCTTAAATTTATGATCTGTCTGTCTAGATAGGGGGCAACTCACACTCTTCAGTAACTGGTACCAAGATAACTCTCTAAAATTGTTGGAGATCTACACTTGATGTGAGTTTCAGGCCTGGAGTCAGGAAGACCTGAGTTCAAAGCCAGCCTCAGATACTTACTAGTTGTGTGACCCTGGGCAAGTCACTTAAACCTGTTTGCCTCAGTTTCCTCAACTGTAAAACAAGCCAGAGAAGGAAATGGCAAACCACTTCAGTATCTTTGCCAAGAAAATCCCAAATGGGATCATAAGGAGTCCAACATGATTGAAAGGACTCAATAATAACATATCTGATACCTATTCAAACTGCTTTGGGATAAACAAAGCCCCTCCCACCCACTCAACACTCACAAAACAATCTTCCTTCTCTCACTTTGACCACTATTCTCAGCATTGATTCAATCACCCAAAATGCAACACTAACTTTACACTCCTTTCTCTACACCCAGACTCAGCTTTCAAAACACTCCAACTAAAAACTTACTGACTTGCTAAGCTTTATTTTCTTCTTCACTAATTATTGGCATCAAGACAACATTCATTTTTTAATTTAATTTTTATTTTATTTGTTCTCAATTATGTGTGACAAAATTTTGTAACATTTATTTAAAAATAAAATTGAGTTCCAAATTCTCTCATTCCCTCTCTTCCCTCCCTCCTCCTTGAGAAGACAAGCAATTATATATGCACAGTCAAGTAATACATTTCTATATTAACCATGTTGCAAAAGAAAATGCAGAAAAAAATAACAATTCAAGAATAATAAAAAAAAGTATGTTTGAAGCTGCATTCAGACTCTATCAGTTCTTCTCTGGAGGTGGACAGTATTTTTCATCATAAGCCCTTCAGAAACTGATCAGAATAATATTCTGACATCTTTTATACTCTAAAGTGATACTTTAACTCATTCCATGGTGCATAGTTGCTTCTCCTTCAGTCATTACATATTGATTTTCTTTTAAAAATTTTTTAAATTAAAAATTATTATTTTCTCTCCCCCCACCATCACCCCCAGTAGAAAGAAAGAAGAAGAAAACCCATATAACAAATATGTAGAATAAAATAAAACAAATGTCTCCATTGGCCATGTTTAAAAATATATTGCTATCTATTTGTATGACAACATTATTTTAAAATCAAAATACAATGATAATAACTGATAGTTGTTCTCTCTTTGAAACATATATATATACATATATATACATATACATATAGATAGATAGATAGATAGATAGATAGATAGATAGATAGATAGATAGATAGATAAATAGATAGATAGATAGACGGATAGATAAATATTTAATTACTTTTTTCAGTCAACAAGGATTTTTTTCTCTCCATTCTAATCTCTCTCCTCCCCTAGACTGGAAACACTGAAAACAAAAAACCTTGTAACAAACATGTGTAGTTAAGCAAAACAAATGCCATATTGGTTATGTCTAAAACTGTATTACTATATGATTTTTGTGGCATCATCATTTTTAATAAGAGGTAACAACAATAATAGCTAGTACTTCATCTTTTATAAATCATTTTCCTCACAGCATTATTATGAGGTTACTTATATAGATAAAGTTATTGATAATTATTATTTCTTTTTCATCTTTATTTTTGAGGAAGGATTCTGATAGGGGCAGCTAAGTGGTATAGTGGTTAGAGTTCCAGGAGTAAAGTGAGGAAAAAATTAGATCAAATCTGGCCTTGGATACTTATTAACTATATGACTCTGGGAAAGTAAAACAATCTCAGTTTCCTTATCTGTAAAAATGGGGATGATAATAACAGCACCTACCTACCTTTCTGAGATAATATTTGTAAAGAGCTTATAACAGAGCCTGGAACACAGCAGGTATATATTAATGCTATTCACTTGTTTCCCACTCTTTGTGACACTGTGGGTTTGGACCCACTCCAATGCCGTCCGTGGGGTTTTCTTGGTCTGTCATTTCCTTCTCCAGTGTATTAAGGCAAAAAGAGGTTAAGTGAATTGCCCAAGGACACACAACTAGTAAGTATCTGAGGCTGAATTTCAACTCAGGTTTTCCTGACTGTAGGCTCAGTGCACTATCCATTGAGCGACCTAGCTGCTTCCCAGCTACCATTAATCATGAGGAAGCTTAAGTAGGAATATGCATAGAAATTAAAGAACATAGATTCAGACCTAGATCTTAGTCCATTAGTCCAACCCCTTCATTTCATATATTAGGAGACTGAGGCACAGAGAGGTTAAATGATTGATACAGTCAACAAGTATTTGAGGTAGAATTTGAACCTACATCTTCCTGATTCCAAGTCTAATGCTCTATTCGCTGACCACACTGTCTCATCGATAGGCTGGCATTATTAGAATTGAATTGATTTGGTCTGAGATACCACGCCTGGTCTGCATTGTATAAAAGCAGAAATACTTTGAATCGGCTTGAACTTGTTCAATGCCCAGAACTTGCCTGGTCTCTGCACTGAGGAAGGGATTCTTTTCCGTCATGTACTGCTGCAGTCTTGACTGTTATGTTGTCCCCAAATCCTGGAATTGCTAACATGAATCTGAAGGTTTTGTGCCCTATCATTCTATTGCATATTTGTGGATGATGAAATGCCGTACTGTCATTTTTGAAATATCTCTTTCTCTCACCTACTTCCAGTCAACTACTAAATAATTCCTCTCCCATATGCACAGCATCACTTAGATCTCAGAGAAGTTTCCCCCTTCCAAATAGACCCACACATGTGGAATTTGATCTTTGTTCCTATACACCATATCATATCCTCGTTAGTTCCTTGAAGGTAAGGAATCATGTTTAATAATTCTCTGTAAATCTAAGTGTCTTGGAATGTATTGTGGAATATAAAAATAACATGAATGCAGGCTAAAAAGCATGTAAAGAAGCTTTTGCTGATTAATGCTAAAAACATGAATTTCACTGTCATCATTACAGAGGGTCATAATTTATGTGTTGGTATTTTGCTCTGCTCATATTTATTCCATAACAATGAATATGTGGAAATATATTCTTGCTGACTGCCATTCTATTTTACTTAATTACTTAATTAGATTTATAAATTAAAATTAAACAACGAATGCCATGTATGATAATACATGGCATATAATGCACTAAATTACTAGCCTGAGCGCTAAATGGCATGGTTATAGACTAAAACTAGTAGTGCATCTCTCAAACTGCTCAATTTAGTATGAGGGAGTGACTTATGAAATGGCAGATTCTGATTTATTGTTAACTGTGGAGATTTTTACTTTGGTCCTTTTCTAAATTTTTTTCCTTACTAGTACTGGCAAATTTTAGGATCGTACTATCACAGAAGTTTCATTTGAATTTGACTTGCATTTAAGCTACATCTTTTCTAACATTTATAGAGCTAATTTGGTCTATGAAGCTTGCATTTGACAGAAAGATATTTGAGGGCAGGTAATGTTTTATTTTTGTCTTTGTATCTACTGCCTAGCACAGGTTTTGGTTTATGTCAGGAACCTAATACCTGCTTGTGGATTGATTCATTATGTTAGTGGATCATTTTAGTCTTCAAGACTCCAACACTCAGAAGGATCTGTGACTCATGAGTGTGAGTACCTATTCCCTCCATTGATGTATATCTAAAACCTACCCAAGCCAGGCCATGTTCTCATTTTTCACCACAGTCTACCAATATTTATCAGAGGCCTTCTGACAGTCATTTGACATTGTATGGCTACAAGTGGAGCATGTGAACTGTTAATAAGTTTCTATTCTCTTGATATGGGATTGGTTCATCAAAACATATTGAAATACTCAATTCTAACGGATTTTCCATCTCATTAGCGTAGACAATCCCTCCAATGATACAGATTCTAATCATTCATGCTCACTCATCAGGTAGACTCTTGTCCAGGTCTTTCTTTATGTCTGCCATAAGGAGTTGGCTTAATATGCTAGGGACCTTCCATAAATGTAATTTAATTGAAGATATTCAAATGGAACTTTTTACCCACAACATATTTTATTAAAAAAAAGTTCTAACTCACTTTTTATTAGAGAAATGCAAACTAAAGCAATTCTGAGGTACTATATCATACCTATTAGATTGCCTAATAGAATAGAAAAGGAAAATGAGATGGGGAGAAAATTTCAAAATCAAAATTTTATGGAAGTGAATGTTGAAAACTAAAAATAAATAAATTTTTAAAATTTTTAAAAAAGAAAAGGAAAATGACAAATATTGGAGGGGATGTGGGAAAAATAAGACATCAATGCATTTTTGGTGGAGTTTGGAACTCTGCCCAAAGGGCTATAAAACCATGAATACCCTTTGACCTAGCAATACCACTACTAGATCTGTATACCAAAAGAGATAAGAAACAAAAATATAAAAGGTCTTATATGTACAAAAAATATTTTTTTGGTGTCAGAGAATTGGAAATTGAGAGGATGCTTATCAACTAATTGGGGAATGGCTGAACAAATTGTGGTACATGATTGTGATGGAATATCATTGTGTTATAAGAAATGAGGAGCAGGATACTCTCAGAACAAGCTAGAAAGATTTATATGAGCTGATACAAAGGGAAATGTACTGTGTACAAAGTAACACCAATATTATAAGATGATTAACTGAATGGCTACTCTCAGCAATACAATGGTCTAAGACAACTCTGAAGGACTTCTGATAAAAAAAATGCTATACATTCCCAGAGAAAGAACTGATGGTGTCTGAATACAGATGCATACTTTTTAAATTTTACTTTCTTCATTTTTCTTGGGATGTTTTTTGTCCATGTTTTCTTTCTCAACACGGCTAATATGGGATTATTTTGCATGAGTACACATGTATAACTGATATCAAACTGATTGCCTTCTCAAAGAGGTGGGGTGAGGAGAGAGAAAGGGTTAGAATTGAAAGCTCAAAGTTTTAAAAATGAATGTAAAAAATTGCTTTTACATGTAACTGGGGAAAAATAAAATACTAAATAAATTTAAAATAAAAGTTTCTCATCCCATACCCTGTAGAGTTTTCATATATTTAACCTATTTATGTTTCTCTGAGCCATTTTTAATCTGTGGAACTAAATCTCAGGGGCATGTCAGACTATTCTCAGCTTTTCTCTCTTTTATCACAAATTCTAAAATGTAATTGTCACTTTCTTCCAAGTTAAACATTAAATCAACTAATTCTTCCTTCCTGATGAGAATCTGGTCAATATGAACATTTTTTCTTATTGTTTCTTCAACTTTTTGCACTATTAAATTATCACAGACAACTCTCTAGTTTTTGCAGAGTGTAGTAGACAATTGGAAATATGAAATGTCTCATAATTGCTGTAGCAAATCTCCATGTAAAGATCATATTCTTTCCCTAATATTCATCATCCATTTCCCCCCCTGTTTTAAGATAGTTTATAGTTAGCTTCTATGATAATAGTCTCCCTCGCCTTACCTCATGTGCTCTTCAGCATGCTTACTCTTTCTTTGGTACTGGAATTTCCTTATATAATTGTGTTTTCAATATATAATGTTTCTTCCCCATCCACCTCTAACCCCTGATGTATTCTGTTCCTTTTGAATTAAGCATAAACTTCTGATATGAATTTCAACCATGTGTACTGTTTTGCCAAGCTTCCTTGTGCTTAAATATCTAGTTCACTCATTATTCTTCACATGAATTATGACAAATAGCTAATTGTTATCAGGTTTGCCTACCATTGCTCAGTAACCTCTCGTCCTTTAAGACTCATTCAATCCATATTTTTCACACAATCTTAATTATTTTAGCTTTTGTCTGTAGATTTCCCATACATTCTCCTTCCCTCCTCAATGAGATAATACCCTGCTCACAGCATGGTCTTTATCTCCTCCTCAACCATTTCCTTCATAAAAGTGGACTTCAACATACATTTTTTCTGCTCCCTCAAATAAAATCCCTTAAACTTTAGATTCCTCAATTTACTCATTTCCCATGTTCTATTCCTCCTCCCCAGCACAACCACACCCAGAGATGGTCATACCATTGATCACTCACAAGTATTATACATCCATATTCATAAACTTTGACATTCCTTTGTCTGATAATGATGTTATGATTCCACCTATCCTTCTGCTTTGCAATTCAAAGCCCTGCTCTTTATCTTACCGCAACTCAATCTCTTCATCCCTCAGTTCTTTCTCAGGCCATCACTGCTTCACCAACTATCCTCTGTTTCCTTCCCCATCTTGACCCCTTGGTGAAGTAATTCAACTCTGCCTTGTCCTCCTCTGTTGAGTCTCTTGCCTTTTTATCCCATTAAAAACATTGTCCATTTAAGCCTCAGACAGATTATTTCCACTGTTTTCTGCCTTAGCTCCTACTCATTTGCTGGAACTGGAGAAAATCACAAAACCATGCCAATAAGTTTGTTATATAATCTCAACTAGGCCATAACTCTAGCAAAGCAATCCCTTTATACCTTTCTAATTGATTCATTATCCCTTTTACCATGTCAGTTTTTCCAGTCCTCTTCATCCATCCTCAAAACTTCCAGTACTCTCTCTCTCCTCACCTTCTCAGCTCAGAATCTTGCCTCAAATTTCAGTGAAAAAAATGGAAGCCATTGACAGAAATCTCTCTCTTCTCCTCTGTTCCTCGTCTCATATCACACAGATGCTTTCTGCTACAATCTTTTTCTTTGCTCCTTCTTCACATGAAGAGTAGTCTTTCTCCTTGCCAAGAGTAGACCCTCTATATGCACAAATGATTCCCTTCCATCCCTTCTTCTCTAGAAGATTGACCTTGCTGTTGTATGACACCTAGACAGTATACCAAGGGCATGCCAGGAAACTGAATCACTTCATTTGAATTGTCTGATTCTGAAGATCACATGGCAGAATAAGATACCAGACAATGAAGTCTCTTTCTGGAACTAAATTGTCAAGCATTCAAACTCTACTGTAAAGAGTGCAACTGTGATGGGCTGGTCATGTTGTTCTAATGTCAAATGTACACTTGCCCTAAAGACTATTTTATGGAGAACTCACACAGGGGGCAAGCACTCATATGGTGGTCAGAAGAAGTGATACAAAGACTCTTTCAATATCTCTCTTAAGAACTTTGGGATTGATTGTGTGACATGGGAGACACCAGCACAGGACTGCCCCACATGGCATATCCTCATCAGAGAAGGTGATGTGCTCTTTGAGCAAAGCAGAATTAAAGCAGCTTAAAAGAAATACAAGATGTACAAATTTAGAGAATCTACCTCAAATGTTCACATGGACTATTTGTGCCAGACCTGTGGTAGAGCATTCTGAGATCATATTGGACTGATCAGCCACAGTCAGACACATTGTAACTTAACTCTAATATAGTAATATCATATTGGTCCTCTTTGAATGAAGGACAACATAACAGATTTACCAATTATTCTATCATTCTTACTTTCACTAATCTACAGCATCTTCCTGTATATTGTATGCTTCCCTACTACCTACAAATATTCCCATGTTTCCCCATTTAAAAAAAAAAACAACTTACTTGATTCATTCATCCCCACTAGTCATCATCTTCTATCTCTCTTCTCTTCATGGATAAACACCTTGAGAAACCCATCCAAAATGAGTACCTCAGTTTCCTTTTTTCTCACTCTCTTCTTAATTTTTGCAGTCAGGCTTCTCATCTCATCATTTAAATGAAATTATTCTCTCCAAAGTTACTAATGACCTCTTAAATGCCATATGCAATGACGTTTTCTCAATCCTCACATTTGTTGACCTCTCTGAAGAAGATGATGTACTTCACCCTTTTCCTTTTATACTCTCTTCTCTAGGTTTTTGTGACTGCTCTCTCCCAGTTTTATTCATACCTATATGACTGCTTTCTTCTTATTCTCATTTGGTGGAGCTTCAACCTGCTAACTACTTGTGTACCCTAAGGCTCCGTCTTTGGCCCTCTTCTTTTCTTCTCTACTATTCCACTTGATGTTCTCAGCAGTTACCATAGTTTCAACTATTGTGACAGTGAAGAGAATTTTCTGATTTATTTGTCTGGATATAATCTTTCTCTTGACTTCCAATTTTACATTTTCAATTGTCTTTTAGATATCTCAAGCTGGATGTCTCATAAACATCTTTTTTTTTGGGGGGGATGAGGCAATTGGGGTTAAGGGACTTGTCCAGGGTCATACAGCTAATAAGTGACAAGTACCAGAAGCCAAATTTGAACTCATGTCCTCCTGACTCCAGGGCCACTGTTCCATCTACTGCACCACCTATGCTGCCCCTCATAAAGATCTTAAATTCTCTATATCCAAAACTGAGCTCATAATCTTTCCCCAAAAATCTTTCCCTCCTTCCAAACTTCCATATTCTTGCTTAGAGGATCATCATTGTCCCAGTTACCCTAGATCTCGAACTACATGTAAATCCCTACTTCTCACTTTCTTACCCTAATTCCAATCTATTGTCAAATCCTATGTTTCTGTCTTTCTAACATCTCTCATTTATACCTCCTTCTCTCTTCTAACACTGTACCTACCCTCCTCCAATTCTCATCACTTCATGCCTGGATTGTTACAATAACCTCCCAATTAATTAGTCTCCCTCTCTCAAATTTCTCTCCGTACCAATCTGTCCTTCACTCAGCTGCCTAATTGATCTTCTTAAAACACAGATTTGAACATGTTACCTTCCCTATTCAATCAACTCCAAGGGCTTCCTGTTACCACCAGGATCAAATATAATATACTGTGTTCGACTTTTAATGCCCTTCATAACTTGGTCTTTTGTTATCTTTCCAATTTTCTTATACTCTATTCCTCTTCATATACTCTGTAAATCAGTGAAACTTGCCTCTTTGCTGTTCTTTGCCCATGATATTACATCTCCTGATTTGGGGTTTTCTGATTGCTCATCATGACTGGAATACTCTCTCCTCATCTCCACCTCCTAGTTTACTTGCTTTATTCAAGCCTCAGTTAAAGTACAATCTTCTGCAAGAAGCATTTCCTGATCATCCTTAATCTAAGTCCTTTACTCTGAGATTACCTGTAATTTGCCTTGTATATTTCTAGTTTGTACCTAGTTGTTTGCACATTGTCTTCCACCATTACATTGGGTCCTTCAATACGTCAGGGGTTCTTAGTCTTTGCTCAGTAAACATTTTATTTATTTTTTAATACTTTTAGAATTTTAGTATAATTCATTTCCTTTGTAACCCTGGTATTTTATTTTATGAACCTGATTTTGAGAAGAAATATAGAGAATTCACAAGATTGCCAAAGGGGATCTATGACATGAAAAATGTTAAGAAGCCCTGCTTTATTCAAAGACCCTCATGTTTAGTACTTAATTTAATACTGATCGCTTTCTCCTCTGTTACATTATTTGACCCTCCACTCTCTCTCTTTTTTTAAGGCAATTGGGGTTAAGTGACTTGCCCAGGGTCACACAGCTAGTAAGTGTCATGTATTTGGTCTGAGGTCATATTTGAACTCAGGTCCTCCTGACTGCAGGGCCACTGCTTTATCCACTGTGCCACCTAGCTGCCCCCATCCCTTCACTCTCTTAACATATATCAGACTCTTCTTTCTTTCTCCCTATACTTTTTTTTTCCACTTTGAAGACATTCCTTTATTTTAAGGATCACTTCATTCTGCTTGTTAATCTGGAGAGTGGAAAGATGATTTCTCATCCCTTTACATACTTCTGGAAGGAGACCGTCTGAACTTTGTGCAGAGGTTGCAATTGCTTTGTTGTGGCAGGATAGAAACTTCACATATTCTCTGAAATTCATTGCAAAATTCTCCTTTCTCTCCATAACTCCTGGAAATGAGGTCAGCAGTTAGAGTCAACTTTACTAACAGATCATGAGGCCAATGGCCAAACTTAAAGCCATCATTGTTTTATTTTTTCACTTGTGATGGGTAAGATAGCAAATTTTAATATAGTTTGTGAATGTGTCTCTGTTCAATTCAGTAAGATTGCTAGCCTATATAATTATCATCCTTTCTAATATTCACTAGTTCACAGAGATAATACATCTGATCCACACAATAATTATTTACTCTGAACTAATACATTGCTTGGGTTGTGGATCATATTTTCAATTTTCTGAACCTTCCCACAGCATGATTTCTTGTAGGCACTGGGCTGTGCTAATCTGCATGCTGAATTAAACCATTTTATTACTTTGTCTTTCTCTGCTTATTAGAGCTTTGAGTTGAGAGAACCAAGAAAGGTGGGCAGTCTGATTTGTTGAAGTTCATCTAAATGACTGAACTGTGCAGCAATGAATAAAAGACTATGCAGCTTGCATATGTATAAAACTATTTCTGAGGAAGCATGGAATTTTAGAGCATGACTTAGAATTTAGAGATGACTTCTCCCTCCAATTAAACTTTATTTATTTATCTATTTATTCATGCATTCATTTATTTATTTGTTTGTTTGTTCGTTTGTTTATTTATTTTAGCGTAAGTTGCCTGTAAAAGGAGAGGGAGATAGGAAGGTAGATTCATCATGGAAGGTGTTGAATTTGAGTTGTGGCTTTTTACATTAGGTAGTGGAGGAAACATTGAGAGTTTTTTGTTTGTTTTTGTAAGGAAGTGACATGATCAAAATGGAACTTTATTCATATTAATTTCCTCATGGTGTGCAGGATGGATTAGAGAGGAGAGAAACTGGAAATAAGAAGACCACAGGAAAATATGCCAAGATTTCAGGTTTAAGTGAATGAAAACCTGAGCTAAGTGATGGTATAGTATACAAGGGGGATTTGAAAGATATCAGAGAGAGGAATCAGTATTTTAGGGTCACTACTTAGATGTAGAAAGAGGTTAGAAGAATCAAGATAGTAACATTGATAGAGTTTTGGACTTGAAATCAGGAAGACAAGTACAAATCCCACCTTAGACACCAAATATCTATGTAATGTTGAATAAGTCACATAAAATCTCTCAATCTCTTCATCTATGTAATAGATGAATATATAATAATTCATATATATTATATATAATATGTAAAATATAATAATAATAGATGAATAATATTGAGAATCAAATAAAATATGTATAGTACTTTGAAAAACTTAAAACTATATATATATATATATATATATATATATATGTATATACACACACACATATATATGTTATCTATTGTTGTTATTGTTATGTGAGGGAGAAGTTGAAGTTAAAAATGATGCTAATATCTTGAACCTCCCTGACCAGGATAGTGATGATGATATAATTTATGGAAACTGTGCTCTGGTTATGACCTGTTATTTAATTGATATTGGGAATTTCCAGAGAGGAAACACCCTCTGTCAAATGTAATCCCACTTCTTAGCTATGAATTATATTTTTAGAAAGCTGCTCACAGTAACAAAGTCAGTATATGTTAGAGTTAAGACTTTAACCTAGCTCTTCCTAACTCTAAAATTTGCTCTATCTATTTTACCATATTGCCACTTGAATTAGAAAATGATGTCAGCATGCAAAGGAAAGTAGCTTAGCTGTACCTAGCTGTATTATAAAGCATCACTAATCAAAACTATTTGCTACTGCCTAAGAAATAGAGTGGTGGATCAGTGGAATAGGTGAGGTACAAAAGACACCATTGTAAATTACTATAGTAATCTACTGTTAGATAAACCCAAAGACTCTGGCTTCTGGGATAAGAGCTCACTATTTTATAAAAAAAAAAAAAAGCCTTTCTGGGAAAACTTGAAAACAGTATGGCAGAAATTAGGCATAGAATAACATCTCACACAGTATAACAAGATAAGGTCAAAATGGGTCTATAATTTAGACATAAAAGTTGATACCATAAGCGAATTAGGAGAGCAAGGGATAGTTTACCTGGCAGATCTGTGGAGAAGAGAAGAATTTATGACCAAACAAGAAAGAGAGAACATTATGAAATGCAAAATAGGTAATTTTGATTACATTAAATTTTAAAACTTTTGCATAAACAAAGCCAATGCAACCACAATTTGAAGGGCAGCAGAAAGCTGGGAAACAATTTTTATAGCCAGTGTTTCTGATAAAAGCCTCATTTCTCACATATATATATATATATATATACATATATATATATATATATATATGTATACATATATATATATACATATATATATATATACATATATATACATATATATATGTATATATATGTATATATATACATATATATATATATACATATATATATACATATATATGTATATATATATATATATATATATATACATATATATATATATATATATATATATATATATATATATATATATATGCAATTGAATCTAATTTAAAAGAATACAAGTCATTCCCCTAATTGAGAAATGGTCAAAGGATATGAACAGGTGGTTTTCAGAGGAAGAAATTAAAGCTATTCATAATCATATGAAAAAATTCTCTAAATCACTATTGGTTAGGGAAATGTAATTAAAACAACTCTGAGGTACCACCTCATGCCTATCAGATTGGCTAATATGACAGAAAAGGAAAATGATAAATTTTGCAGAAGTGGGAAAATTGGGACACTAATATATTGTTGGTGGAATTGTGAACTGATCCTGTTATTTTGGAGAGCAATTTGGAACTATGCCCAAAGGACAATAAAATTGTGCATACTCTTTGATGCAGCTATATTATTACTAGATCCCAAAGAGATCAGAAAGAATGGAAAAGAACCCACATGTACAAAAATATTTATAGCAGCTTTTTATTTTTCTGGTAGCCAAGAATTGGAAATTGAGGGTATGCCTGACAATTGGGTAATGGCTGAACAAATTGTGGTATATGAATGCAACGAAATACTATTATGCTATAAGAAATGATGAGCAGGCAGATTAAAACAAAAACCTTGGAAAGACTTACATGAACTGATGCTGAGTGAAGTTAGCAGAACCAGGAGAACATTGTACACA